TGCTGTCATTCAGCAGCCTAACCACTCCCATACTGCCCCCACGTGGGCTCCATCCGTTCCCGAAATCACGCTCCCCCCCCCATTCACGTCATGACGTCACGTGATGCGGCCGATAAGGGATCACATTGGCTGGATACCGGACCAATGAGGAACTAGTATTTTCGGCAGGATATCACACACAGCATCTCACAATCTTAATTGATTGTAACAAAAGGTATTTAAATGGATACAGGGAACTCTAAAAGTTTATTGCTCCTGACGACGGCGTGCTAAAACGCCGAAACGCGCGTCGAGCTAATTTAATTTTATTTAATTATTTTCTTTTTGTCCACCTCTTTTTGGTAGCACTTATGGATTTAGTTATTTAATCTTTGTAATTTTTAGGACGTATAGGGACTAGGTATCCGGGTAGGCACTTGTGGCAACACAGTGCCGAGGTAATTAGAGGAAGCCTCCTACTGATAGGGAGTCTGCTTTTTGGGACACTTGGGGTATTTTTTACTCCTCCTATAGGGTTTTTTTTTCACCTCCTTATACAGGCTCAGTGTACTAGCCATCTCTATACACCTGGATTGGTTACCTATGAGATTTAGGATGCATGTGCTCAACCTTTAGGTTAGAAATTACCAGGCAGTCTCTCTTTGATAGTAGACACCTGTTCTGTGCAATTGTCTCTAGGTGGTTCACCATTTTATATTCCTTTCTCCTATCTGTCCTTTTTAATCTGTGTTTTCCTTTAGGATTATTAAAGGTAGGGACCCCTTCCCCTTAATTATTACTCTCCCACTGAGGACTTATTGTAGTCCTCTTTCTTTCTTCTTTTTTCTTATACTAACCTCGTGGGTTATTCCCCAATCAGGGAGAGTAATCTTAGGGCTCTTTGGCACTGATTCATTGGTCAAGTATTGTGACCTCTGAATCTGAGTCACTATTATTCTTTATCTCTACTATGTTACTGTATACAGTACACCAAGCTAGAGTGATAGGCCCTGGCATGATATCTGACTGGTTTGATATGAGGAACGGTATTAGACAGTGATGCCCTTTGGCACCTTTGTTATACATCTTGTTCATTGAACCTTTGGCTGCAGCAATTAGATGGGAAGAACAGATTCAAGGAATAACATTATCACAAGAACAGTATAAGATTACATTATATGCAGATGATATACTCCTCACTCTGACTACTCCACTTGTTTCAATTCCACACATTTAAGAGCTAATTAAATACTATGGGAACTTGTCAGGATATAAATTAAATATAAAAAAAAACAATCTATCTCAGTCAACGTTACTTCAGGAGACAGAGACAGACTGAATGAGATATATAATTGGAACAAGGAATTTATTGAATATCTAGGAATCTGAATGAACGCAGAGGTGAACAACAAAGTCGAAGATAACTATAAGGTCTTAACATCATCGATTAAAGAAGATCTCAAAAAATGGAAAAACTTTGAAATATTATGGTTGGGCAGATTGAATTCAATTTCTGCATATATCTTCCCAAAAGAAACCTATCTGTTCTGCTCCCTTCCCCATAGAGTCCCTAGCAATATACTTTTTCAAATAAAGAAACACTTTATAATATTCATATGGAATGGCAAAACTCCTAGAATTGCATATAATGTAATAATTAAAAGAGCTGCATTATGCAAAATAAATTTTCCAGATATAATAGATATCCACGACTCCATTATGTTCACGCATTTTTTTTTAATGAAATGATCAAAATAGCTTAAATACAAGAATGAGAATAATGGAGGAGAGAGATATTACAAAGATATCCTTTTATAACCGAGTCTGGATTAATCCCAAGCATTACAAACAGCACCCTTCATCAAATAAGATTGTGAAAGATATAACTTTGACAATTAAAACTTTTAAAAACAAAGTGGGAATTTCAAACGAGCTTTTACAAACAACTCCTATTGAAGTAATCCAAGGTTACATAAAATATATAGATCTTAGTGGGTGGAAGCAATGTAATATTCAAAATCGAATTCAAATTGCTCCAATGGGGAAAATTAAAACATTAGAAAACTTAAAGATAGAATTAAATTTACCGGAGCGAGACTGTTTTTAGTTATATCAGAATCAAAAATGTAATTATGTTCCTAGGTATTAAGGAGCACATGGAGTTTGAAAATCTTATTAATTAACCAAAAAAAAAAAGTTATGTCTAAAACCACAAAAATAATAAAAGAACTAGAAAAGCTACAATTTCTGGGGAAATTGTGTGAAGTGTTCTTGCCTCCACCAGTAGTCTACAACTGGAGTGGGTGACGTAACTGTTATCATTTATATAACACATTTAATAGCAACGTTGTTGCACAGTTACATTAAACCATACATTTTTAAAACATTAGCAGGTGTTCAAAAGGCCCTGTCTATGACATCACTTGCTGCTGCAGCCTGACACAGGTCAGAGTATTTTGGCGGTTGCCATCTTCAAACGGTCGTATTTTAAAAACTATAGATCCTACAGCGAAGAGCTTTATATTGTGAGAATCACAAGACCCAGACCTACATTTTGATGCATAGTATGTCTCTGAAGTATTAAAATTGAAGGCACAGTCGCAGTTTAAAAATTGCACTTCAAATTTGAGCTTTGCAGAGTGAAGTTTCAATGAAAGTCAATGGACGGCGTTAGTTGCAAACAAATGATTATATCGTAAAAACTATCAGGACTACAGCTAGCCGTTGACATGTTTAGTGGCAGCAGTGGATAGCTGAACGTTTTGATATAGGATTTGTGTAGGTGGGCCTGAAAATAAGGGAGTGGTGGCAGTTTAGAAATCATGTCCTGATTTTTCAGCTTTTGCCAGCTCCCACTCTAGCTTTGCCATTCATTCCTATGGGAGAAATCTCGCCACAAGAACGACGATATTCCGTGAACCATTCGGCGAAACGTTCCACAAAGTAATAGCAATCCGATCGGGAGCAATCTGCACGTTTTGGTAAATTTTTGTCTATGTAGTGTAAAAACTGTGGGAGGAGATAGGGTGGCAAATTTGGCTATAATAAGAATAATAAATTAGAAGTGTTTTTGCCTCCACCTGTAGCTTACAACTGGAGTGGGCGGAGTAACTGTTATCATTTACATAGCACATTTAATTGCAACCTTGTTGCACAGTTACATTAAACCATACATTTATAAAAACATTAGCAGGTGTTCAAAAGGCCCTGTCTATGACATCACTTGCTGCTGCAGCCTTGACAGGTCAGAGTATTTTTGTGGTTGCCATCTTCAAACGGTCATATTTTAAAAACTATAAATCCTACAGCGAAGAGCTTTATATTGTGAGAATCACAAGACCCAGACCTACATTTTGATGCATAGTATGTCTCTTGAAGTATTAAAATTGAAGGCACAATAAGTCGCAGTTTAGAAATTGCACTTCAAATTTGAGCTTTGCAGAGTGAAGTTTCAATGAATGTCAATGGACGGCGTTGGTTGCAAAACAAATGGTCATATATTGTGAAAACTATCAGGACTACGCTTAGCCGCTGACATGTTTAGTGGCAGCAGGGATAGCTGAACGTTTTGATATAAGATTTGTGTAGGTGGGCCTGAAAATAGCGAGTGGTGGCAGTTTAGAAATCATGTCCCGATTTTTCAGCTTTTGTCAGCTCCCACTCTAGTTTTGAACATTCCGCCATTCATTCCTATGGGACCAATTTCGCCACAAAAACGACTATTTCGTGAACCATTCCTAGAAACGTTCAACAATAGCACACCGATCGGGAACAATCTGCATGTTTTGGTATATTACTGTCTATGTAGTGTAAAAACTGTGGGAGGAGTTAGGGTGGTAAATTTGGCTATAATAATAATAATAATAATAATAATAATATATATGTGAGATAACATTGCGGTCTTAAGCGCGCAAGAACACTTAATAATCTGAAAAGCTACAATTTCTGGGGAAATTGTGTGAAGTATTCTTGCCTCCACCAGTAGTCTAAAGGACATTCAATTGCAACTTGTTGCACAGTTACATTAAACCATACATTTATAAAAACATTAGCAGGTGTTCAAAGGCCTTGTCTATGACATCACTTGCTGCCGCCGCAGCTTGACACAGGTCAGAGTATTTTGTGTGGGTGCCATCTTCAAACGGTCGATCTTTAAAACTATAACCCTACAGCTAAGAGCTTATATTGTGAGAATCACAAGACCCAGACCTACATTTTGATGCATAGTATGTCTCTGAAGTATTAAAAATGAAGGCATAGTCGCAGTTTAGAAATTGCTCTTCAAATTTGAGCTTTGTAGAGTGAAGTTTCAATGAATGTCAATGGACGGCGTTAGTTGCAAACAAATGATTATATTGTGAAAACTATCAGGACTATGGCTTAGCCGTTGACATGTTTAGTGGCAGAAGGGATAGCTGAACGTTTTGATATAAGATTTGTGTAGGTGGGCCTGAAAATAAGGGAGTGGTGGCAGTTTAGAAATCATGTCCTGATTTTTCAGCTTTTGGCAGCTCCCACTCTAGCTTTGCCATTCATTCCTATGGGACAAATTGCGCCACAAAAAAGGCGATATTCCGTGAACCATTCGGCGAAACGTTCCACAAAGTAATAGCAATCCGATCGGGAACAATCTGCACGTTTTGGTAAATTTTTGTCTATGTAGTGTAAAAACTGTGGGAGGAGTTAGAGTGGCAAATTTTGCTATAATAATAATAATAATAATATATATGTGAGATAACATTAAGTGGTCTTGCTATGCAAGAACACTTAACTAGAAAAGCTACAATTTCTGGGGAAATTGTGTGAAGTGTTTTTGCCTCCACCAGTAGTCTAGCACATTCAATTGCAACGTTGTTGCACAGTTACATTAAACCATACATTTATAAAAACATTAGCAGGTGTTCAAAAGGCCCTGTCTATGACATCACTTGCTGCCGCAGCTTGACACAGGTCAGAGTATTTTGGCGGTTGCCATCTTCAAACGGTCGTATCTTAAAAACTATAACTCCTGCAGTGAAGAGCTTTATATTGTGAGAATCACAAGACCCAGACCTACATTTTGATGCATAGTATGTCTCTGAAGTATTAAAATTGAAGGCACAGTCGCAGTTTAGAAATTGCACTTCAAATTGGAGCTTTGCAGAGTGAAGTTTCAATGAAAGTCAATGGACGGCGTTAGTTGCAAACAAATGATTATATTGTGAAAACTATCAGGACTATGGCTTAGCCGTTTACATGTTTAGTGGCAGCAGGGATAGCTGAACGTTTTGATATAAGATTTGTGTAGGTGGCCTGAAAATAAGGGAGTGGTGGCAGTTTAGAAATCATGTCCTGATTTTTCAGCTTTTGCCAGCTCCCACTCTAGCTTTGCCATTCATTCCTATGGGACAAATTTTGCCACAAGAACGACGATATTCCGTGAACCATTCGGCGAAACGCTCCACAAAGTAATAGCAATCCGATCGGGAACAATCTGCACGTTTTGGTAAATTTTGGTCTATGTAGTGTAAAAACCGTGGGAGGAGTTAGGGTGGCAAATTTGGCTATAATAAGAATAATAATAATAACTAGAAAAGCTACAATTTCGAAATTGTGTGAAGTGTTCTTGCCTCCACCAGTAGTCTAGCACATTCAATTGCAACTTTGTTGCATTAAAGTTACATTGGGAAACCATACATTTATGTAAAACATTAGCAGGTGTTCAAAAGGCCCTGTCTATGACATCACTCTGTAGCCGTGTTTCCCACAGGTCAGAGTATTTTGGTGGTTGCCATCTTCAAACTGTCATATTTTAAAAACTATAAATCCTACAGCGAAGAGCTTTATATTGTGAGAATCACAAGACCCAGACCTACATTTTGATGCATAGCATGTCTCTGAAGTATTAAAAATGAAGGCACAGTCGCAGTTTAGAAATTGCACTTCAAATTTGAGCTTTGCAGAGTGAAGTTTCAATGAATGTCAATGGACGGCGCTGGTTGCAAACAAATGGTCATATTGTGAAAACTATCAGGACTATGGCTTAGCCGTTGACATGTTTAGTGGCAGCAGGGATAGCTGAACGTTTTGATATAAGATTTGTGTAGGTGGGCCTGAAAATAAGGGAGTGGTGGCAGTTTAGAAATCATGTCCTGATTTTTCAGCTTTTGCCAGCCCCCACTCTAGCTTTGCCATTCATTCCTATGGGACAAATTTCGCCACAAGAACGATGATATTCCGTGAACCATTCGGCGAAACGTTCCACAAAGTAATAGCAATCCGATCGGGAACAATCTGCACGTTTTGGTAAATTTTTGTCTATGTAGTGTAAAAACTGTGGGTGGAGTTAGGGTGGCAAATTTGCTATAATAAGAATACACACAATTCAGAAAGCTACAATTTCTGGGAAATTGTGTGAAGTGTTCTGCCCACCAGCTCACAAATCGAGTGGGCGGAGTAACTGTTATCATTTATATAAAGACACATTTAATTGCAAACGTTGTTGCACACAAAGTTACATTAAACCATACATTTATAAAAACATTAGCAGGTGTATAAAAGGCCCTGTCTATGACATCACTTGCTGCTGCAGCCTGGCACAGGTCAGAGTATTTTGGCGGTTGCCATCTTCAAACGGTCGTATTTTAAAAACTATAAATCCTACAGCCAAGAGCTTTATATTGTGAGAATCACAAGACCCAGACCTACATTTTGATGCATAGTATGTCTCTGAAGTATTAAAAATGAAGGCACAGTCGCAGTTTAGAAATTGCACTTCAAATTTGAGCTTTGTAGAGTGAAGTTTCAATGAATGTCAATGGACGGTATTAGTTGCAAACAAATGATTATATTGTGAAAACTATCAGGACTATGGCTTAGCCGTTGACATGTTTAGTGGCAGCAGTGATAGCTGAACGTTTTGATATAAGATTTGTGTAGGTGGGCCTGAAAATAAGGGAGTGGTGGCAGTTTAGAAATCATGTCCTGATTTTTCAGCTTTTGCCAGCTCCCACTCTAGCTTGCCATTCATTCCTATGGGACAAATTTCGCCACAAGAATGACGATATTCCGTGAACCATTCGGCGAAACGTTCCACAAAGTAATAGCAATCCGATCGGGAACAATCTGCACGCTTTGGTAAATTTTTGTCTATGTAGTGTAAAAACTGTGGGAGGAGTTAGGGTGGCAAATTTTGCTATAATAATAAGAATAATAATAACTAGAAAAGTTACAATTTCTGGGGAAATTGTGTGAAGTGTTCTTGCCTCCACCTGTAGTCTACAACTGGAGTGGGCGACGTAACTGTTATTTATATAGCACATTTAATCGCAACGTTGTTGCACAGTTACATTAAACCATACATTTATAAAAAACATTAGCAGGTGTTCAAAAGGCCCTGTCTATGACATCACTTGCTGCTGCAGCCTTGACAGGTCAGAGTATTTTGGTGGTTGCCATCTTCAAACGGTCATATTTAAAAACTATAAATCCTATTGTTTAAGAGCTTTATATTGTGAGAATCACAAGACCCAGACCTACATTTTGATGCATAGTATGTCTCTGAGGTATTAAAATTGAAGGCACAGTCGCAGTTTAGAAATTGCACTTCAAATTTGAGCTTTGCAGAGTGAAGTTTCAATGAATGTCAATGGACGCCGTTGGTTGCAAACAAATGGTCATATTGTGAAAACTATCAGGACTACGGCTTAGCCGTTGACATGTTTAGTGGCAGCAGGGATAGCTGAACGTTTTGATATAAGATTTGTGTGGGTGGGCCTGAAAATAAGGGAGTGGTGGCAGTTTAGAAATCATGTCCTGATTTTTCAGCTTTTGCCAACTCCCACTCTAGCTTTGCCATTCATTCCTATGGGACAAATTTCCCCACAAGAACGGCGATATTCCGTGAACCATTCGGCGAAACGTTCCACAAAGTAATAGCAACCGATCGAACTACTCAAAATGCTTTTGGTAAATTCTTCTTGTCTATGTAGTGTAAAACTGTGGAGTATGTAGGTGGCAACGGCTATACACACAATGCACTATATGTAGATAACACAAGTGGTCTTGCTATGCAAGAAACACACACACACAATAATAATATATATGTGAGATAACATTAAGTGGTCTTGCTATGCAAGAACACTTAATAATAATAATAATATATATGTGAGATAACATTAAGTGGTCTTGCCATGCAAGAACACTTAATAACTAGAAAAGTTACAATTTCTGGGGAAATTGTGTGAAGTGTTCTTGCCTCCACCAGTAGTCTGCAACTGGAGTTTGCTTATATAGCACATTTAATTGCAACGTTGTTGCACAGTTACATTAAACCATACATTTATAAAAACATTAGCAGGTGTTCAAAAGGCCCTGTCTATGACATCACTTGCTGCTGCAGCTTGACACAGGTCAGAGTATTTTGGCGGTTGCCATCTTCAAACGGTCATATCTTAAAAACTATAACTCCTACAGTGAAGAGCTTTATATTGTGAGAATCACAAGACCCAGACCTACATTTTGATATATAGTATGTCTCTGAAGTATTAAAAATGAAGGCACAGGGGCGTGGCCTGACAGCTCAACCGGACGGTCGCATGAGCTGCTAGCTCCTCCATAAACTGACCCTCCACAGCTACTAGAATAGCCTACTCTGCCCATACCCAGCGACAAAAAACCTGCTACAGGTACCCTCACAGCATGGTATCCAAATCTGCCAAAAAACCGAAGCAGAAACAATCCCTGCTGCAAATACAAATGCTCTCGACGCCACGCTCGCAGGCCCAAGATGGCGCCGAATCGCAGCGCTCACCAGCGGCCTACTCTGACGCCAGCGACATCACCTCGGTCTCTGAACCGACGACGGCTCCAGCTACGGACCTCTCGGTCCACAAGATGCTACAGGCCATGCAGACCTCCCTGCAAGCCGACCTCACAAAAATGGCGAGAGATATAAGGACGGACATCCAGGCGCTTGGGGATAGAACCTCGCACTTAGAAGAGAAGGCAGAAGAAATTATCTCCGCTCACAACACCCTGGCGGATGCCTATACAGACATACAAGAACAACTGAGCCGTCTGACAGAAAAAGTCGCGGACCACGAGGATAGGGACCGGCGCAGTAACATCCGCCTCCGCGGTATCCCAGAGGAGGTCCCCCCCCAAGAACTTCAGGCCTACGCCACAAGCCTCTTTCAACATTTGGTCCCTGATCTCCCACAGCCCGACTTCCTCATTGACCGTATCCACAGGCTGCCGAAACCGAGGGCCCTGCCAGCGTCAACACCTAGAGATGCAATAGCCAAATTGCACTATTATACAACCAAAGAGAGGATCATGCGAGCTTCCAGACGTGCACAAGCCCTACCGGATAAATTCAAGGGAGTCCAGCTATACATCGACCTCTCCGCAACTACTCTCCAGAAGAGGAAAGAATTCTCCCTGATAACGAGAGCCTTACGCGAAGCAAATGTGCTCTACAGATGGGGCTTCCCGGCTCGGCTGATTGTGAGAAGGAATGGAACAGACCGGCACATCACTAATGAAGCCGACGGCAAAAAGACCCTGGCTGAATGGGGCATTGCTCTACCGCATCAACACACTCAGGAGATGAACAAAGAACAACGCAGACCCCCGCAGAGACTACAGAACGACTGGAATACAGTCGCTGCAGATAAGTGACATTTACATAGCAGTTACCTATTTCTCTAATACCGGGCAAGATAGCCCAACTCCCTCAACATTGTGAACTTTACACAGTTATACCCTTTGAGTTTATATTTATTGTTTCACAACCGGTTATTCACTACTTGTATTTAATCTCGGCCCACTTTATGTCACTCCCACCCGCCTGCTGGGCCTGGCCGCGGTGCCGGGGCTCCGGTCACCGTGGTGACGTCAGCGAGGCTGCCGACAGGCTCACAGGAGGGACCAGGCCAGGGCTTGAGCCCCTGTAGTCCAGACCCCACTGAGCAAAATATGGCAGGTGAATATGTTGCCTCACACCACAAGTAAAAAAATAAAATAAAAAAAAAAATAAAAAATAAAATAAAATTAATAATACTATAAAGGACATTGTGTAAATACAGGTGAGCCACCCTTAGAGGCTGCTCACCACAACGACAGGGTTTGAGGCAACCCACGACCAAGGGCAAACCCGAATCTCCCCTGACACAGAGGGTCGATCATTCCTAGATTTGTCAACCCCCCCGGGCTCAAAGGAGCCGTGTTATTCCCGTCTGCAACCCAAGGCTCTCGCCGAGACGGATATTTGTATATACTCCCAGTTACTCCCCCGTACCCAGTTTACCTGCTACCC